CATCTTAACCATTACCAAAAATGCATCTTACTTGTGTTTCACTTAGCTGTTGACCCTAAAATCATCTCTGAATTGGTGCTGACAATGTCCTTCCTTCTGAAGGGTGGCTACTTTTGTTCCCCATGGTCCCCGTGTTATAAAGTAGCCACCACTTCAAGACAGGCTCACTTCTTTGATAGACTAAAATGTCTTGTTTAGTTTACTAATTTGTACTGAGATTGTAGTCCATCAAAAAGGAGCAAGCTTGGAGCGGTGGCTACTTTTTCACACACACACACACACACACACACACACACACACACACACACACACACACACACACAGGGACCATGGAGAACAAATCCAGAAGGAAGGACAGTGTCAGCATGAATTTAGAGAAGATTTGAGGATCTACAGCTGAGTGATGTATACATAAATTAGTTAGGGTACTTGAATGTATTTTTAAGATTTACCTCCCGAGTTTAGTGCCACTTGAAGCTCTCACTCACCAGTACCAATTAAATAATTGCCTTAATTTTTCCACAAATCATATTTTACTGATTTGTGAAGAAGATTCATGATCTTATCACACCCATACTCTTATGCCAACCTGTCGGCAATTCTCCAGTCAACTCTATGATGAAAGGAATTTCCTTCAGGACACTGTGTGTTAGATTATATCTGCACATCAGCAGATAGAAAACACAACAGTGTTCTGTACCAAACTTTGTCTGACATAAGGAGGAATGAAGATTTACTTACAGCCAGTGATGGGTGACAATTGTTTGCATGATTATGAACATTGATGATCAGCATGCCAGCATAAGAGCAGCAACATTTTAGCCACCAGTTTTTAGCACTTCTGCATTAGCTGGAAGTTACATATCTTACATATCTAGCAAGGATACAAAATTAAAGTAATTTCATAAAATCAAGACTTGTAGGGCCATAGTGACTTTAGGATTCGTGTACAGTAACCAGAGCAACCATTCACAAATCCTGAAAGCCATCTCCTGATTGGTTTACTTCATACCAGTGCCGCTTTCACAAAGCATATTCATCGAAATAAATCTCATGTTTAGTTGTATTTTTATCTAACAAATAAGTAGACTACAGACATTACTAAATTGTATCTTTACATATACACAGTTATATGGTATTACCATTTGCCATATGTTAGCCTTAGGCCAATGGTAAGCCCCCATTCACAGTAGTATGATTTATCACTCACCTGCCATCGTGGTACAATACACGAAAGCAGAAATAACATTAGTCGCAAAAGGTGCTACACAATGAGGGGAATTTATCAAAACTGGAACAGACAGAATCTGGAGCAGTGGCCCATGGCATGCATTCTGCTTCAATCTTTAATTTTTATGGTTGCTACGGGCAACTGCTCCAGATTCTGTCTGCTCCAGTTTTGATAAATTCCTCTCCTTGTGTAGCACCTTTGAGTATACGTGATTTCTGCTTTTGTGCATTGTACCACGAAGGCAGGTGAGTGATAAATCATACTACTGTGAATGGTGGCTTACTATTGGCCTAAGGCTAATATAGGGCATAAAGTAATATGTTACTTTAGTTTTTTGCTACATAGACTTCAATGGGAGTGCATACAAACCCACCTAACGTGCATTTGCATACATTTTAGTTCATGAGCCCAGCCCCTAGCAACCTGTAAAATTATTTCACCTTCAATGGCCACCAAAACAAATGCATTAAAAAAAGTATACAAAATGCATGGCAACGCACAGCAGCGCTGAAAATGCTAGTAAATGTAGATACACAAGCGTGAATATGAAAAGAGACATATAATGGATAAATGGTAGACACTAAGGCACATATTTATAAAGCATTCACCAAATATTCACTGCAGACGAATCTTCTAGGTGCATGTGTTTTTCAATAACAGTAATTGATTTCCTAACAGTAATTGTTGTAAAAGCTACTTTCACTGCTTAATAATAAATAAATGTATTGAACATGATCCAGAAAAAAATTAAATATCATCTGTCTTTAACCATTCCATGATTTTGAAGCACACAGAGATAAACACCTAGTAGACAAGTTCAAGCAGCCAGGACATGAGCTGGGTGTCAATCTAGCTGTCCTTCCTGAAATATAGCAATCATTTCTTTTTTTTTTTTTTTTCCTAGACAGGATTCAGGGAAGGACATTCTAGGGCCTCCTGTAGCTGATACGGATTATATAGATATTAATCCCACAGGCAAAATTCATTAAAGTCTATACACAAATGGATCTTTTGTTCACCTAAAGTGATTATCTTGAAAAAAACATTGATAGAGTCCCGACAGAGCAGCCATTTGTGCAACATTAAAATCTGCATCACGAACATCCACAGTCACCTTTTTATTTTTATACAGAATATGGTTCAGTGTTGGTAAATATCACATTGCACTAAAGGAGCGTAGTGTAAACTTCCTAACCGAAGTAATGACATCCTAGCAGCATGTAAGTTGGCCATATGCAAAGCGATAGCAACTCAGGAGCTGATCCTTCTCCCAAAACTTGTTTCCACCCAGTCACATTCTACAGCAGGGTAGGCAACCTCAGCATTCCAGCTGCTGAGGAACTACAAGTTCCATAAGGCAGGGCTGGACAAATCCCAAGAGCCAGGTAGCCAATGCTGCTTAAAAGTGTCAGTTGGCTCCTAACTTTTGAGGTTTTCTGTAGTTGTCAATGGAGCTAGAATTAAAAAAAAAATTCTGCTGGCTCCTGGATCGGACAGACTGGCTCTTCGAATCCCATATTTATTTGACCACCCCTGGTAAGGCATTGCATGACTGACAGCCACAGGCATGACTTCAAGAGGCTTGCTGGAATTGTAGTTTCACCACAGCTGGAGTGCTGAGGTTTCTACTCCTGTTCTACACTGTGCAGTTTAAAGACAATCTGTGCTGGCTTTTCAATACTATCTTAAAAAACAAGGGGCAACTGCCTGAACATTTCTGACCAAGCTGACTTTTGTCATTTGAGATTTACACACCATGTGCAGTGCATAGAGCATATTGAACTGACATTTGACAGCTGCTTTCTACTGCATTTGTTTTCCCATCTTCTATAGTATAAATTGCAATTCCACTTGATGTCTAAATATCTATAGCTGATACCAGGAAATTACTTTAAGCTGATTCAACAGATTCCAGTGTACAACATTCCATCTTCAATGAATGGTAATATCATTCAGTAATGCCAAACCACTAGCACTTTTATTGCGTCTTACAATCACCCACAAAATATGTGTACTGTACACAACATAAGCATATCCAAGGTGTACAAAAATGCACAAATCACAGCTTTGCTGACATCTGTTGCTGCATTCAGGCAGAGTAGTTAATTACTACTGGCAAGGAATCCAGGGCTAGTATGGGAACGATCCAACCCTCCAAGCTGTCTCTGTTACTCTTGTCTGTAACAGTTTCATAAAAAAAAAAAAAATCAAGTGATATGTGCCTTTGGCATCAACAGACCATCTCTTTCCAGGCATGTGCTGTATACAATAGGCACACTTGCTCTGCAAACTACTACAGCAGTCTATTATAGAAATGAGCTCCAGACTGCCAACAGATTGATTTTATGTTCCTTTCTTTTACTCTGACTTTTTTTTTTTTTTTTAAGGATCCCTTTGTTTCATCAAAAACCACAGCATACTACAACACTGTACCACTAAGGCAATGTTGGATTTATAGCAAGATCGTTTCTGTACAGTACTTAAAAACTGGACGTGAAAGACACTCCACCCCTACTTTCTAGCTTGCGGCAGAGCATGCAAGTAATGACAATATGCAGCCTTGTTTTATAATAAAATTCTTTAAGAATGAATTGCCCGTTATCCAAAAGTGCATTCTAAAAAGAACCAAGAAGAAGCAAAACAAAGGCAATAATTACTTTTGATATTCTAGAATTGTAATAGGTGTTAAGCGTAGTGCGTTGAAAACCAGAATTACAAGTTGTAATTTGTTAGATGTGTATACTGTTCATGTTTATAGGATAACACGGCACTAGGTAGAATTTTAAAAACCGTCATTACCTAGTTTCTGGCTTGCCTACAAGCTGGCAGACTGTACAATGTCTAATACCCTACAAGCCTTAACTTAATGCGCTTTAATGCGTGAAAACACCCAACATTTATCCGGTAAGAAGTTACTTTGCTATCCACCGGCTTTGCAGGCGGAACACTGGCAACAAAAGAAGATTACACCGAATGGCAAGCACTTAACAACAAGCTCTTCTTAACTCTTGATGGAGTTTGGATGTCATTTTTGATGGTGCCAGCTGACTAGGAATTGCGTGCCTACTACCTAGTTCAGCATCGCATCCCAAGAAAAAATAAGTAAACCTATCGACTTGGCTGCAAATGTTCTACCTCTTCTTGGAAGGGTTAATAATGCACACAAATGTCATTGAATAAAAAACACACAGTTTACCTGTAGCTACACCACACCTTCTTGTCCACATTTCCTAAAGTGTTAGCAGCAGGTACAAACCTGCTATTTAAAAGTAGGTTGTGTAAAATAGCATAAAATACATAACACCTGTCACAAAAATAAGGGAGGGGGGGAAATGAAAAAAAAGGAAAAAAAAGGAAAAAAAAAAAAAAAAAAAGGTTGATTGTATAATGCATTACTGCATAATCACTTTAAATTAGGTTTGTTTCCTTGTTTAGGAAAAAAAGGGGGATCTGAAAAATATATAAAAGAAGAATCACAAAGGGAATGCAGAAAATGCCCTAATATAGGATTCTTGTCTCTAAACACACTTCTAACAAGGTTTGCTGAGGACTTGAATGTAATCCAGCAAAGCAAAAAGCTTCAGGGTTAGGAGTGCCTGAATGTGACTCGAAAACACTAGAGAAGTGCTGCAGTCTACCCAGCAAAACTGTGTCTTGTTCAGAAACATGGAACATAAGGTTGTATTTAGTATTCTCAATAGTAAAACTTTGAAGCACAGGCAAGACTATGAGTGGTCAGATAGTGAAGCATGCAAGCTTTATTTCTCACCTGTGCTCCTGTAGAAGTGAGAGTTACAAGGTGCTGAAATCCTGGATGATCCAATGGTTTCGTAGTCTCTCACAGTCCAGTCCACAAAGTGCTTTGAAACCCAGCTGAGCCATTCACATGTCTGTCCTCTCATTCACTGGTTCAGGAGTTAGGAGCTCCAGATCTAGGGCTGACTCATAAGGCAGGACAGTTCTTCAAGGTCCTAGTGCCTTTCTGACATAAACCAGGTGTGTGTTTCAAATCCCTTTTTTTTACCTCTCTGTACAGGGAGTGCAGGGAAATTCCAATTTTAATTCAAGTGACATCTACGAAACTAGAAATTCAGGAGAGACAATAGCACGGCTTGCGCATAAACATGCAGATCTCGAACGCATCCTCCTCTAGTCTGCAGAAGAACAGCTGATAATAACCCCCTATAGTGACGGTGGCGTTTAAACTGGGATTAAGTCTGAACCTATCAGCTTTATCCCAGCGGTGGTGTTTTCAAATAATCACTAGTCAAAATGATTTAACCCTTGACACGCTGCAGAGAATGCCCAGAATAATGCAAAGAGGAAACAAGCTACGCTGTTTATTTTTTATTTTGGCAGCGCGCAGGGTAACAAATTGATTTCCTTTTCCTCTGACTCTAAATATTGTTCAGCTTTTCATAACAGTACTTGTATAAACAAATTGCTATTCCACAGAACTTGCAGCCATTATCATCCTTCAATTTATTTAATTAACATAGTAAAAAAAAAGGCATACTTGTTTATTTATATTATATTAGCACCCACCACCAGCAGAGCTGACAATCTAATATTATGACTGCAATTGCTAGCATTTATGAGGAGTTAATATAGGGTTAACAATGCAGCCCAAAATAAATAATTAGATATAGAAAATGCCTCTTTATCAGAATATATGTCTGAAGGTCTGATATCTGTGCATTCTGCTGTCACCAGATCAGCAGAAGTTTGCACATTGAATAACACCGGGTAACTGACTTGAGCATAATAGACATCATTTGATAGCTTAATATATATAATGCTACTCCTAAGCAGATCCCTGGTATACAGTGCATGGAATACTTATTAACAATGATGCCCCTCAGCATTTACTTAAAGAAAACCCCTTCCCATTTCATGCTGTCAGCAATGGCACCACATGGAAGAGAAATGTCACAAGGAGAAAGAAAATTAATTCTTTACACAAAAAAAGTGAAGGCTACAAGAAGATCAGCAAAGCTTTACTTATCAGTCAGAATACTGTAGCAAAAATGATACAAAAATGTAACAAAGATGGAACTGCAACCATCTCACAGAGACGTCCAGGCCGCCTACGGAAGTTAACAGCTTGACAGGAGCGTCTTCTGATGAGAAGGGTTGAACAAAATCGGCGTGAAAGTTCACTGCAGTTAGCTAAAGAAGTAGAAAGCTAAACTGGAGTGATTGTTTCCCGTGACACAATATGACGTACACTGTAGAGCCTTGGTTCTCAACTGGTGGGTCGTGAGCCAAAAGTGGGTTGCGACCCCTTGTTTAGTGGGTCGCCACGTGCCTTCCACTTTTCTACGTGAGAGGCTCCTCAGCCTCCCCGTAGCTCAGCACTGTCTGTTCTCGCGCTGAGCAGCCATTCAAAATATGCTCCTTGGTGCATAAAAACAGAGAAATGCAGTTAAAAACAAATAACCTTCAATACTACTTTAAATATATTCCTCAATCACCACAATGGCTATAAATTAGACATGTGCGCGGCAAAAATATTTGTTTTCGGACAAAACAAATGAAAACACAAAAACATTTTCATTCGTTTCATCAAAGGAAACAAGTTTTTATATTGTTTTCGGATTCAGAGGCTATGAGGTGTGACGTTTGGGGAAGTTAGCACAAATGGTGAGTGCATTAAGGAGGCATCCACTCGCTTATGACTTCTTTTAAGGGCTTCCTTGCCCACTTTTATTAAATGAAAGTTCTTTGGCATCTCTTGCACAGGAACACATGCACATCCAGCCTTCTGGCTTTGCATTCATAGCACCGCTGCCCCAGCCTCAGGCCACTGCCTGTTCCTCCAGACAGTCTCGGTCTCGTACTACCCTGCACCCTTGCTTTTTCCAACCCGCAGCACCCTGCTGCATTGGACTCCACTCTGACTCGTCTGTGGCGTTTTTCTGTCTTCCAGGTGGAGCCCTGAATATGAGCCAGCATTCTTCTCATAAGGGCTGTGCCCAGGTGCACAATCTTTCGGTGCTGGTTACCACTAAAGCCTGGACCCAGGAATGGAGATTTCATCCCTCCCAATGCTCTTTGAAATCTTCCAGTTCCAGGAACCCATGCCAAATCCGGAAAACATGGGAAGAACTGCAAAGCCAGCTCTTTCCCAGTAAACATTTTGCACTTTCTGGAACTGCTCAGCCCCCCTGGCTGAGAGACCTAGGTGACCATATTGCCAAAAGACACCCGGGCATTGCCAGGCACTGCCACAGAGGATAGAGCTGCACAGGGTGTTTCCAGGGGGCAACACCAAGTGCTGTCATAAGTTCTGATTACTTTATACAGGTATACAAAGATTTTAACTTTCTTATTGACAGTCATTGTTGACATGACATCTGCCTTTCTATAACAACTAAGACTTTTCATTCTCAAATGTGAACATCTGTAATTTGTGACACATGGGAAACCCTGGGTGAGTGATTCCTTGTAAGATAGGAAAATACTGTTAATCCTGCTTTAGTGACCAGGCACATTTCTGCGTAACTTATATCTTATCAGGTCATCCGTTTATATCATTAAAGTGGGCTCTAATTTAGAAAAGAATGACTCGATTTCTGAGCATTTTGACTGGTTGGTGCTCCTGTGAAGTCATGGCAGTGGCTCATAGCCAATTGGCTTCCTTTTGGCTGCTCTCTCACAAGCTACTAAGTGAAAACATGGGCTTTACAAGAATTTCCCAAGATGATTAAAACATGGGAATTTGAAACTGAAACCTTACAACTCTGACATTATGGCTTAGAAATAAAAAGCATTGCTACTAGTGAGTTTTACTGAGCGCTATAAAGTGTTGACCCATGAAAGCTTATTAGGTAAGGCAAAGGCCATTCTGCTAAAAGCAGTAACCCTGGCGAACAAACTGAATTGATTGGATTTTACTTCAATGAACTGATACCTGACTGGTTGCTAAGAGTTACTGCTGATTATAAATCACAATTTGTACAACTGGAACCACTTCCAACTGGCCTGATACATATATACAACTACAAGAAGTTGGGTTTTATCACTCCATACATTATATGCGTCCACTGTTCTGTGCCGAAAGCATGCTCACTGCATGCATCCAGAATAGTGACAGCGCTGTCACCAACAGCTCACATTACTGTATGTGATTGGGAGCCAGAGACAGGCTCCCAATCATGTGATTGCTGTGATTGGCTAGTTTCCTGGCTGTCTCTGTCACCAATACTTTTTAAGTCACTGACTAGGAACAAGCATGCAGCAAGTTAACATCAGGGGGTTGTCAGAACTCTGGACTTGCATGCTTATTCTGCATGAGTGACTGAGAACATTTTAAAAATCAAATTAACTTTTAGCTAAAACCAACTAAATACTTGCTCTCTGGATAGAAGCAGTGGTCTCTCTACAGAGGTCAGACACACCCCTGTTTTGTTAGGCCTATATCTCTGCAATCAACACGGAGCATGGGATTAGCTAATTTGAGAGCTATAGGTCTTACTTATCAGGGGATTTGCTGGACCTCTGCAGAGAGGCCATTGCTTCCTCACAGAAAGCAAGGGTACTTCTCTGCAGCATGTTGGCTGGGGGGCATGCTTTTCTACTCAGGTTAGGGCTGTTTTCTAAATAAAACAAACTGAAAGGCTTTGCACACATTTTGTTTTGATGCAGCTAGAATGCGTTCAGCTGCTTTAAAATTAATACTTAATTGGCATTGAGAGCCATTGGATTAACATAACAGCCAATCAACTAACATTTTCCACTGAAAAGTTAATTAGTGGTATTTGTGTATTTTCTCACCTTTCCCTCTGGTCTCTCAGAAACCTTCTACTACAAGAGATGCTGGTGTAAGGGGGCAGGAATGCAGGACATTTATCTGTCCACTGTTTTCTATTGTAGACATGAGTGCCTGAAAATAAAGAAAATAAGGAGAGATGGGCTTAAAGTGGAACTCAAAAAGTAAAAAAGTTATAGAGAACAGTACTCTGAGGGCCCATTAACAATTTGCCATTGAGGTGAATTCTCGTAAAGCACATTTTACTGCCTGTGTTACTACAGCACACATTAAAATTGATTTTTAATAGCACCCCAATGCACCAAGGCAATGCAGCTCCTACCCACTTGCAGAGCACAACAGTGCATGGGCATGCACTGCTGTACTGATGTGTGCTTTCTGTACCTCTCCCTGCTGCTCCTGATTGATTATTCCTCTGCCAGTGATCAAATAACCAGCCAATAGAGTGAGCAGCTCTGATATCAGAAAGCCTCTACATACATGTCAGCCTCCACACAGAGACATAGGTTTGCCACTCCTAGAAAAAGATCATCTGCAGGGAGTCCACAGGTAATACTGGTGATTAGTCCTGTGCCCTCTGCTTGCCTTTTTGGTGTCACAATTTTTAGAGTTTTAACACCAGTAGTGGGCACACTATTACCTTATATTTACAGAATTCTTGAGCCCTAATTACCCAGCAACATTTTTTGGTTTCTTGTACATGTTCATTAACACATGACAATCCAGATGCCTCCTTCTCCTCCTGGGCTTACACATTTCCAGCCTAGGGAAACATGCTGGTTTGTGAACTCCCTCTTTGGGGTTTCAGCACTGCTTTATAAGAGTTTCAGTGCTTTCAGTGAGGTCACAAAATAAATAAATGTTAAATAGTAAAGTAAAAAACATTTTCCCAAGTGTAACAACCCACTGCAACCTACCAAACCGGACTATAGAAAGATGTTTGGCTGCCATGGTGTTCTACGTTCTACAATGCTACTTTCCTTACCAGGCTTAACTAATTGCACCAGTAAATAAATTATTCTGTGTGTGAAGTTCAGTTAAGCTCCATTCTTCAAAAGCATGATGATCAGCTACCTGTGTAGCCTAGTCATTTTGTTAAAACAGATTGAATGTGACTTTTTCAGTTGAGAACATACTTTTCATTTGGCTGTCAATTGCTCATTATTATGACTGGAGTAATAGCTCAAAATGCTTCATGCATAGAGCCGTTGGATGTTTAAAGAATACAAGCACTTTTAATTAAAACAAATATTACTACATCCCCACCTCTAGGCTCTAAAACAACATAATTAAATATAACTCGGTACCTG